GCAAAATAAATCAATGATACAATTTTATGTAATGGGTAGATACCATGATATAATTTTGAGAAACTGTAAACTAGCTCAAGTTTCTATAGATAAACCGTTCATTGCAGAACAGTATGCACACATGATGGAGTATTATACAGTTGTTATTGCTCATCCATGGCTTCCATGCTATCCCAGATCCTACATCAGTTCCTGGGATGCTGTCCACCTCCCTTAGATGTAGTTTCTGTAAGTGAATATGAAGCTATGAGTCACAGTTCAGTATTAGAGCATTTGCTCAGCTGCAGAAAGATAGCCCCCCCCCAGCAACACACACACACACTCCTCTCTCTTTCTCTTTCTCCCTTTCTCTCTCACACACATACACACATGCACACACACCTATACACACATATACACACTCACACACACACTTACACACAGCACACCATCAACAACAGCAGCCAGAAAAGCCTGAGTGCTTTGCAATCAGCCAAGACAAATCCCAAACTTGCCAGCATCAGAATCACCTAGAAAACATCCGCAGAAAGACTGGACTCCACGCTGCTATCTGCAAACTCTAATAGGAGGTGTGGAACCTTGTTCCAGCAGTAATACCTGAACATCCGAGAAACACAGGGCAGATGGACTAGCATCTCATGCAGAGCCAGCAACTGTGGGAGAGATAACTCAGAGTAGTAGAATACAGGTCTAGTGTATGGGGCTTCTGCCCTGGTGACAACACAAGGAAAGATGCAAATCAACAAAGTCCTTGCACATTGAAACGCTTCAAGGAAACTTTTCATTGAGAAGTTTTAATGGAAGCAAAAGTTAAAAGGGAGAGACGGTGAACTCTGTAAGGGAATGTAATTTTCATGTACACTGTTATCTTCTTAGGCAGGTTAAATTTATGGGGATTTTCAGGTGTTCTGGTTGCTATCACACACTTTATCTGAGTGGTTGAGGAAGATAGTTTAACCATTCCTCCTGAGCTGACTTGAACAAATGCGTAAAACCTCAAAACCCTTCTGTGGGCTCACGGGAGAAGTCTGAACACCTCCCGGGCATGCAGCGTAAGTCTTCCCCTCCACCCATGCAGGGCATGCACTTCCCTCCAGGCATGCAGCACACACTCTTCCCCTCCAGGCATGCAGTGCACACTCTTCCCCTCCATGCATGCAGCGCACACTCTTCCCCTCCATGCATGCAGCGCACACTTTCCAGGTCTCTTGTCTTGTCCCCATGTGTGACGGTCCCAGCCCGTGCATTTTAAGGGTCCACATGCTCCACTGTCTTAGAGGATGCTTCTTTCTCCCCCAGAACATTCTCATCTCTGTCTTCTAGAATATTCAGGCTTGCTCTTTCTGTTATGAAACACTGTGTCCTTTAACAAACTTACTCAGAATCCTGGCCATGCATCTGTCCATCACTTACATCCCTCCAGGACTTCTGTTGGTGGTGTCTTTTTCCCTTGTGAAATGACCAGAGGTTGTTTCTCATCTGCCGCCAATCTCAGTTTACCCCTCAGTCCTGTGCTTAGCCCAGTGTACCCACCCAATGGAGGTAACATTTGAAACTGGGGGGGGGGGGAGAGAAGTCCTCACGAGGAATTTTATTGTGGATTTTCATGCATATTGTGTTTAAGAAGCAGGGCTAAATTTCTAAGAAACAGTAAACTGTGGCCACGCATCGTGATAAATATGTCTCTTACTTTCCAAGAGACTGGCATTTTGCTGAACCTCACAGCGGGGTTAATAATACATCCTAAGGTCACTTAAGATTTAAGTGACGGTGCCACTGTGTACTCTCAGCCTGTGTGTTTAACCTGTGTTTTAGAGAACAATGCAACAGCCAAGCATGCTTGCCTCAGATTTCCCAAACAGCCAACTTTACAACCTAAGCTAAAGCACAGATGTAATACTGAATTACGTGCTCTTCTGTGCTCTTAAACCAGAGTAATGCAGGCATCTTATGGTGATCATTTGCTGAAAACAGCAAAAACGGCGGTTGGAAGTAATCTTATAACATGGATAACCAATGTTGGAGGGGACATTTGGATATCACTTGATAAACAATGGTGTTTATAATACTTTTTGTTATTGGGATCAGTTGGCGTCAGTGGTCTGCTCACTAGGAAACCTGCAAAGTATCCCTCATCCCTCCCCACCTGATACCGTCTGTGAGGTTCAATGAATTCAGAGCAAAGCCCCCTGGGAGGGAGGATGAACATCACAGGGGAAAACACAGTAGAGATTCAGCTCTGGGCTTGAGCTTGGTTAGGGACACCAAAGGTGAGTGCTCTTGGTTCTTTCCTGACGCCCGCACTGAGGTGCTACTCAGTGTTTACTGCTGAATAACTGCTGACTCGGAGTTTACTGCTAATGTGCCCAGCCGTGGATCGTTGCATACTTTTCTCAGCAAACATCTTTAACTACATTTCTTTCTCTTTGAATTCACAAGCAAGTTCTCAACTAAAACAATGACCATCCGCTCGTATTTATTTAGATTTATAAGTAACTGTTTATTGATTCTTATTTAATTACCCTCTCTCCTGAGCATCAGAAATAGTCATAGATTGGCAGTTCATGGGGTTTACTGTAAAAAAAAAACTTGGGAGTCAAGGACTTGGCCTCTCTTTTGCAGCGGCTCCACAGCCAGAGTCTCAGAGACAGTGCCATTTACTATTAGTAAAGCAACTGTGAACATTTTATTAGTAACCATGTCGAATATTCGAGTGCCGGCTGCTGGCCCAGGAGGTAATGAGACCGCCACTCAGGCTACCATCTAAGCAAAACCCTGTCACTGAGTCCATCCGTACTCTGTACCAGCTCCCCAGAGCAAGCCTCCAAGAGTTAACACAATGTAACATCATTAAAATGTTAATTGGTACCTCAGTGCCTGTCCGAGAATTGAATTTTTGAGGAGTTAATTACATTTCCCTCTGCGGGCTCAGGAAACTGTTGGTCTCATATTATCTAATTTATTGGACATGTTTTGGTCCTTACAACATTTCCATTAGTCATCCCTAAAACATACATGGGGCAGTGCCTACGACACCTGCTTAATGAGCACTGTCGCCTAGAGGAGGCACAGCCCCAAACTACACGACCATGGGAAACTGAATGACATGGCTTCCGAACCTTGGCACTGTGGGCCAAGTTAGGTCCTATCAGACAGGGTCTCCTGCGGTTGGTGAGAATGTCGGTGCTGACGGACTCCCCCATGAATAGGAATGTCAATGTCCGTGCTTTTCCTCACTGCCAATGTCTCGGCTCCCTGTAACTTCCAAACTTAAAGGAACCTTAGAAACCAACTGTGCTGGAAAACTATTTTAAAAATAAGAACATGCTGCTGCACAGCAAATTCCCTGTGAAGAAAACTTCCAAATTTGTGACTCCATTTGCATTCCCATAAACACAGAGAATCTTTGTGCCTAATATGTGACAAACGGCGGTGTTAGAAGCAGGCATTCTAAGACTCTGGTTATGCATCAGTTCTCATTCTTGTTAGTGCGTTTACAATGGGAAGCGATATAAAGTGTGTACTCCCTCCCCAACAAAGCTGATATTTGAACGCATCTTAACTCATGGTGATGTTGTTTAAAATGATTTAAGTATTTCAATAATAAAAGGATGCCAAGGTGCCACCGCACCGCCTAAAGCAGATTCTGAGATGTAGACGAATGTGCAAAACATCACGGACTTCCCAAGCCTCAGCACCTGAGAAGGGAGAGAAGGAACTGGGGGGGGGGGAGCCATGATGCAGGCTCAACCAAGGCCTGACCCACACTTCTGCAAGCTGTGTGGTGCATGCAAGACAAACTCCTCAGCCAGATGGCAAAACCATCATTGTTTCCCGTGCGTGTGAATTTGGTTATGCATCCAGGTGGACAGACTTAGTGTTGTGGCTAAGCCAGGCAACCAACTCCCTTCCCAAAGGCGAATGAGTCCAGCATGTTTGGTTGTGGCAGCAGATGAACTAGGTGGTGGCAAGCCCCCCAAGTTCAAAACTAAGAATTCGCCATCATCCATCGTAGGACCGTGGGTCACAGCTGTGTAACACGCCAAGTCTCGGGTAGGACAAAAAAGGATGGCAGGTTCATGTTAGCTTTTGGGACAATGACTGTTCCTCCTGTCCTGTCCCCCCCCCCACGCACATATGTGTTTAGGAATGAGTCTCCTTCTGTCAAAGAGAAGGAAGTGATGAGGGTGAGGGTGAGCGGGGGATTGTATCTCTCCGTGACATTGGAACAGAAAGGACAGATGACTCAGAGTTGGTCACCTGACCCAAGCAGTGCAAAGAAAGGGTCTTGAGATGCCCTTGTGTTCTTACAAGCAATCCCTGTCTCACAGGAGCGCTGCTGGGGGCAGAGGGAGTCATAAGTAAAACATGTAACGTAAACACTAAAGCTAACTTCAAGCTTATTGCACAACTGGGACATGATACGGAGCAGTGTGTCCTCTTCCTAGTCCACTGAGAGAGCCTGGACACTTATTGAGGGCACAAATTAGACGACCTCTCTTCGCCTGTGAAGAGTCTTTGTTTGCTGAATGGAATTTGTCAGCTTTGTTTATTGTGCTCTCAACATGCTTAGCACTGAACTTATCTAGAATAAAGGCAGTAATAGGATTACAGAATTCTCAGACCCAGAAGGGACCTTTGAGAGCACAGCCTGTTTCCCTCCTAATTTCAAAACTGAAGCAAGAGGTCTAAGTGGGAAGAGGAAGAGTCCCGGGCTTGGGCACTTTCTTCGGCACTTATGTTCATTGGGAACACTACATAGGCATCCTTCTCAAGCCAGCATCCACAACTTCCCGCAAGTGGCTGGCAACGTTGTTGGCTTTCAGATGAAATACATTCGTTAAATAAATTAATTCACCAAATCTGCCTGCTTGTTTTTGGCAATCTTTCGATAGCTTGAGGCTTTGCAAGACTACTGTGTTTTAGAGGCTTAAATTAAGACTCTTCCATGGAATATGTACGAGAGAAATTGAGATGCTTTAAGGAAGAATGCTTCACTCTACACGTGTCATATTTTTATTTCAGGTAGGAGAAGTGATCACAGGAGGTCAACGGACACCCGTGTCTGTGAAAAGCACCCGGGACCACAGCAAAGAGCAAACAAGCCACAGGTATCATGTTCCGGATTGTCCTCATCTATATGATACTTACTGTTCCCTTCGTTATCACATGCTGGCTAGAATGACTGTAAACATTTAATGTTTGAAAATGCTCAGACCATGCATATTCATATTCATTCCAACTCCCTAGACTCTTCATTTCTAGGGCTCTTGATCTTCAAATCTCCAACCTGTGTCCATGCACGTCCCAACCGCTTGTGAGAAAAGTAGTAAGACCAATAATATCCACGATGATTATTGGCATTTCCTGAACACATGTTTTGTACCCACATTGCACATTAATCTATTCAAGCACCACCTGCCAAGGGGGATTTGAGTGTCCCAAAGACCGTGTAACATGTGGAAACAGTTCATGTCTGTAACATTGCTCTTAATACATCCCTGCATGATTCTCTTGTCACCTGACCTTCTGGGTTCCCTAACTATAAGAGCCTCTATCACTGCCCTCTTCTCCATTTCTCAAGATACTATCCATCCATTCCCAGTATTGCACCGTGTTAGAAACCTCTTCCTTGAGATCCTAGCTCATCTCCTGGAAAGACTGAGGACAAAGCCAATCTCCCCTACACATGCCAGCACCAAAGTTATTTTGTACAAAGCTCTCCTAGTTCCAAGGTTCTGGATAAGACCTCAGTTTCTTTAGCTAACCTACTTCTCATGACTTCCAGACTCTTAACATCCAGATGGCAAAATCTATTTTGGACTGAGGCAAATTTATCTCTGTGCTACAAATGTGCATGCTGGATTACATCATAAAAAATACCTGCACACATGCTGCATTTGTCTTTTGCATCTTAAGGCCTCAGTCATTTCTATAGACAAAGGTGACCAATTAGATCTTGTAGAGATTTTTAAATATGGGATTTGCTTGAACAACAGGTATGGAATTGAATTTCTACTGAAAACCAGTTTGCTGTTTTTAACCTTAGAAAGCCATTCGTATTTCTCAACCTAGTGAATTTTACTACATATTCAAGGTCCTCGGGTATCATGACTTATGTGAGTATTAGTCAGAGTTAACCCCAATATCCTCAAGCCATGTAAACAATCTGAGCTAATTTGCAATTTTGCAAGGAGTTGCAGAATAGGAAGGCAAACCACTGTAGTTTGGAGGTCATTACCAGACCCCAGGAAGACTGTCATTACTCTGATTAGATTTGGCAGATGGAGAAGTCTTAGCAAAGTATGTCACAAAGCATTTCTTTCTCAGTTTCACTGTGGAGAAAGTTCGCCTCCCAGCCCCACATCCCGGGCTTGTGTGGAGGTTGTTTGTGGATCTCTGTCGTCTCTGACAAACTTGAGCGTCCACCTGAGCTCTTCTTTGCGTCATCCCCTCTGGTCTGCGCAACCGCATTAACTAAAGTTGTCTGTTAAAGGTGCACCTCGGGGTTGAGTCTGGGTGGGCTGTGAGTCTCTCCAGAAGAGGGACAGCAATGCAGGAGGAATCTGGGAGGGCTGGACAAGGCCTCCACCTTCTCCTAACTGGAGCAATCCGTTTCTCAAGCTGTGTAGATGGAACAGGTAGAGGAAGAAGAAGGGATGGTTTGTCGAACACCTGATGAACAAGTGTGACTCCTTTTTAAGGTTTATTTATTTTATGAATATGGTGCTCTACTTACATAGAGAGACAACATGCAGGAAGAGGGCACCAAATCCCATTACAGATGGTTGTGAGCCACCATGTGGTTGCTGGCAATTGAACTCAGGACATCTGGAAGAGCAGCCAATGCTCTTAACCTCTGAGCCATCTCTCCAGCCCCCAAATGTGACTCTTGACACTGCGATGCAAAGCAAAATGTTCAGGCTCCTCAAAAGTGGAAGTGTTCATGAATGCAGGTGCTGAGACCATTGACAAAACAAACTACCTTTCCTCATCAACGCAGCGTGTCATGAAAGAAGCCTTTCCTACTGAGACACAGAGAAGCTGAATCCACGGAGATCACAGAATGAGTGGGAGGTGGCTCCAGAACTTTGGCCTTTGACATTAGTCTGCTTATTGCACTAGTGAGAACAACATCCCGAGTTGAAACAACCATGTTTTTATGGCTGATGCTTCTTTTGCTTTGCTCTCCGAGTCTTACCCTGCCCCTGTGCTAGAGTTTTGTCGTCTTGCCTTTCGTGTTTAGGTGTTCTCTACCTGGAATTAAGTTTCGTTTAAGGTGTGATTCTTTTCCACTTCCACCATCTCTAAAAAGTTGGTCATCAAGGCCCCTGTGTCACGAATCATGCATGTGAATGTGAAGGCCTGGATTCTGTTTCTGGATTGTGTCTGTTCCCCTTCCTTGATTTCCATAGCTTTATAGTAAGTCATTATAACTCGCATGAAAAGTCGTCCCACCTTCTTGAAGAGGCGTTTGGCTATTCTTGTGTCTTTATAGGCCTACATTAATTTTAGAATGAACTTGCCTGGCTCCACATGCAAATTACATCCATCCTTTTTTCCAAACACTACTTTGAAAAACCAGAAGCAGGATAACTTTATAAACAGGTGAGGTTTATGTAGCTCCCAGTTCTGAAAGTTCATGGTCTGTCTGATAATGGCCTCCCAGGTATGGGACTTTGCATCTGAGGTACATGTGTCAGGAGCAATCACATCACCCATCAGGAGGATAGACGGGAAATCAGAGCGCAAGTTCAATTCAGTCTTCACATAAGTACCTGATCTCGGAATGACTAAGTTCAAGGAGTGCTGTATCCCTTTTTAAAGGCAACAATCTGGATGGCCTCAGAAGGATGAGGGAGGGAAGGAGGTGTCAGGTAACACAGTGTGATGATGTACAGGTATGAAAACATCACAGGGAAACCATGACTCAGTGCGCCAACTACAACCTTAGTTCCACAAAGTGAAACCCATGACTCAGTGCGCCAACTACAACCTTAGTTCCACAAAGCGAAACCATGACTCAGTGTGCCAACTACAACCTTAGTTCCACAAAGCGCCGGTGCCCTTCCTTTCCTCTGTGTCTCTCACGGGTCACCCATCTGTCATGCCCGTCTTGGTTTTTCGACAGCATTTGTGGTGCCAACACCGAAGATCTTGCCAAGCAGCCTGCGGCACAGCAGCTGAGTGTGTGCTGTCTGTGCCTTCTTCCTCAGATTGCGGGCACAAGTCATGTTTTATCTCTAAGTTCCTAGCACCGATCACAGCACAAGGTACCTGAGAGAGGTGTGGTGAAAAGCCACACTGAACTCAATGACCAACTCTTACCCTTGGAGCAATGTCCTTGCCCTCTGCCAATGACCAACTCTTACCCTTGGAGCAATGTCCTTGACCTCTGCCATCTTTTCCGCACGGGTCGCACCCTCACCAACTCTCTGCTGAGTTCCTGGGGCTCCTTTCTCTCTTTGACTTCCATGAACTAAGTTGTTCTGGACAGCATCCATATGTATGTTGTCGCCAATCCAGCATTTAAGGTGAGAACACTGAGCCATAATGGCTGGGTCACTCCAGAACACACAGTTAGTGGGCAATTACCAGGGATGACCAGCAAGGCAGTGAGATGGAAGGGCGCATCCAAGTCCAAGGATGAAAAAGCTACCGCATGTGTTGTACTTGGCGCCTTCTTTTCTCCCAGTGACATATGTGTGGTGCTGATGTCATAAACCCAGACTAGCTCCCCAACCTCGGTTGTTTATGTCTGAGGCTTTGACTGACATCCTCCTGTTCTGCTGCTCCAGAAGGGCCGGTGGCAGAAGGTATCTGAGGATTCAGAGGGAGTAACAAAAGCTATGTCTGAGGACAGTGTCTGGCATCTCCACGAGGACCCCAGGCTCAATGGTTTGCTAGGATACAGGACTCAGCGCAGTCGTACTTGTGGCTGTTGTTTATTACAGAAACAAAACAAAACAGAACCCCATTAAGAAAATTCAGCCAAGGGCAAGTCTGAAGATAACTAGGGCCATGCTCTTAAGGGTCATTTCCTCTAGAGTGACACGAGACACTTAATTTCTGCAGCAGCGAGAGAAGCACCATCATGGTGCATTAGGCAGGCTCATTAGAGGCTTGGTACTTGGGGTTCTCACTGGGGGCGAGAGCATGCCAAAATTCTACTCCCATGCTGCTTGCATATGCTGCTGGGTCAGGGAGCATCCTTCCTTCAGAGTTTCCTGTTGCTATAGAGACGGAGTGTAGTCAAGCCTTCGCCTCGCAGGCCTTTTTACCTACAGTCAGAGGAGATAGTGTGCCCAGGTCTCGTCCTCCTACACTGATCGTTTATCTGAGTCCCCGTTTCCTCATCATCTGACCCTATCTCAGTCACTTCTTCAGTGAGGGCACAGTCCATTCTGGTCTCTTCTCTTTTCCTGTAGCATACAGAGTTCATTTACAATAAACAAGCCAGACTACAGAATGTACTGTTTTATAGTCTCTTTAGTCTTAGTGTTCTCCCTCAGCAAGTCCATGTGCATTACTCAAATCACTGAGAGGAATTCATTCAAATGCCTTAAAGGGCCGAGCAGAGGCCAGGAATGAGGAGGGGGGATTTCAAGAAGAACAGAGTGTTTCTGCTTCCCCAAGAGAACAGACTCTCTTCTGCTCAGCAGACGGCATCTGCTGGGTGCATTTCACCTGAGGACATCACTTTGTAACTCCTCCAAAATCCAGAGACAGTTTCTCACTCTCTCCAGTGAAGGATAATACCCTTTCACTTATAGAATAAACATTTATTCAATATGCTGTATGTCAAGGAAAAAGTAAACAGCAAAAAATCTCTGCCTTGAAGATGCCAGCATTCTAACAGAACAGTATGATAGACTTCTACGATGTTGTAACAAATTCTGTGTTTGTGCATTATACTGCACTGTGAGTCGTTGCCGGAATTCTATCATTTCATACAGACCAAGGTGTCCTCAGTTTATTCTGTTGTACCGGGAATATAGAGGTATTGGACATGTGTCTGTTGAATGAACAAATGAGCGAATGGTGTAGTGGTTGCAAATGGTGTGTCTAGGTACTGGAAGAATCGCTGGGAAGGCTAGGGAAGTGTAGATCACTGGTCCTGAGTCCACGTGGGAGGAACAAAGCCTGCTGTGAAAACAGCACAGGGATGTCACCATGCACAGGGATGTAACCATGCACAGGGATGTAACCATGCACAGGGATGTCACCATGCACAGGGATGTCACCATGCACAGGGATGTCACCATGCATAGGGATGTCACCATGCATAGGGATGTCACCATGCACAGGGATGTCACCATGCACAGGGATGTCACCATGCACACAGCTCCTCTGCGAGCTCAACACCGAGGCTCTTCAGCAATGGAGCTTCCTGCTGGTCCTTTGCGGTTGTACCGCCTCTGAGACTACTGGGCATGGGCAATTGGAGCAGATGCTTCTGAGCAGAAGCTGTGGACTGAGCCTTCTTACACAAGTCCCTGAACTTGTTGTCTAAACATACCCACCAGAGTCGAGCCCAGGCAGGTCCAGTCTGGGATTATACTTGGCCAGTGTCCTATTGATTCTGTCTTTGTCACTTGGCTCATTGGATCATCTTAATATTTGATGTAAGAGAGTTCCCCAAGTTCCTCATCTCCTGCTGCCAGTATAGCAGCACAGCTCTGTTTGACATTTTATTTCTCCATGGACTAAAATCTTATTTCTAGAATTCTCTGTAAGCATTGAAGCAATGGACAGTCTTTTCTTTACTCTATGGAAGCAGTTCTCAGCCTGTGGATTTTGACCCCTAGGGGTCAAACAACCCTTTCACAGGAGTCCTATATCAGATATCCGGCACATCAGATATTATATTATGATTCATAGCAATAGCAAAATTACAGTTATGAAGTATCAACGAAAATAATTTTATGGTCTGGTGTCACCACAACATGAGGGACTGTAGTAAAGCCATAGCATTAGGAAGGTTGAGAATCACTGACCTATGCCCTATAGACAGCACTTGCCAAATATTCACTGAGTAAATGAGTTCTATTTCTTTGAAGCTTAATTTTAAAGGATCTAATATTAATATTTGTCCCCCTTTGTCTTTTTTCTGTTGTAGAAGAAAGCAGACAGAAAGGTTAGAAGTCGATCCCAGCAAGCATTCCTTCCCTGATGTGACTACTATAGTTCAGGAGAGAAAACGGAAACCTAAAAGAATGGACTCTCAACCCCAAACTGCACCCTGTGAGGAAGATCCCGACTTTGGTGACCACCCAGAAGTGCCTCCGCTAATTTGAAACCTGAGGCTCTGCGGTCATTGACTGCGACCCAGTCGTCCCGTGTCAACAATGGATGTGTCACTCACGGGGCAAACATAGTTCATTATCATTTTCTCTGGTGTTGTATTTCCTACTTTGCATAGTAATATTCTTAAGTGAGTTAAAATTAAATTGCATGCTTTAAATGTGCTATGACTTATCGCTCATCTATAATTAAGGTTAGCTATTGAAAATATGCAGTAATGTAATAGAACTATGACATTCAACATTAGGAATGAATCACTTAGTGCTTGGTTATGCAGCAGATTGTGTCATACGGAAAAGGGCTTGAGAAAACGGGTCAGACTGAGGTGGTAAAACTGCAGTCTCAGGCCCAACTAGCATGCTTTGACACGATTTTAAACAGTGTTTCCATTTATCTTCCCGTGTGTCTGCTTTCTTGAGTAGCATGATACCGAGGCGAGAATACGAATTTTGACCTCGGACCCTGTGTTTGTATTCCTGCTGAGTCGCTGCTTGAAGACTTCCAGCTGGTCCTTGCCCTCGAGGGCAGGGTGACTTCATCTCTACTAGGCAGACAGTGATGCTTTCCTCATAGGCTGGTCTCTAAGCAGGCTGTGTAACTCATCCCGTACAGGGCCATCCTAGCATCTCCTGGCTTGCTCACTCCCCTCTCTCCCTTCTTCAGCTTCTTCCCCAGGTTTCCCCTCCTAGTCTAATTCCTGCTTCATCTCTTGGCATGTCTGCCATCGCTTCTTTATTAAAATAACTACTAAGTCAATATTCCACATCCATGCTAGCAACAGTGACCATGGTACCCTGTGATCTTGGTGTCACAGCATCAGATCAGGCTTTCTCAAATGCTTCTCCAGTGGATGCTCACTGAGGAATCATCAGGTGTTCGAATGATTCATGAGGTTCAGTGCAGTGGTTTGGTTGTAGTTGGAATGTGTTGCCTTAAAGGTTCATGCACTAAGAACTTGGTTCTTTGGGTGTTGGTATAGGAAAAAGGTAGAACCTTTGGGAAATGCAGCTTTGCAGGAGGTCTTTAGGTCTGTGGGAGCAAGGCCTTTGGAAGGCAATGCTGGAAGCTTCCTCTGTGTCACCTCACGAATGAGAAGATTCAAGGTTCGGGATAACCAAGGAAAGATCTCTGTGTCAGAGAGAGTGGAGTGAGTGGGGGAGAGGAGAGAGGAGGAGAGAGATTGGGAGAGAGGGGGGAAGGGGGAGGAGAGAGGCAGAGAGCATCAGCATTCATGAAAAAGACACTAGGAGATCTGAGTGGCATCGGAGATGCTACTGCATTCACTACTTTTTGCATCTCTGTAACCAAATACTTGATACGCATCCTAAGGGTCATGGTTGGAGGAGTTACAGCCCATCCTGGTGTGGAAGACAAATCAGCAGGTGGCTCTCTCTTGGCAGGCCAGTGGCAACTGCCTTCCTGGATTTCAGTGGGACAGGAGAGAAAGAGTAACATTGAAACTCAGTGGGGTTTCCCCTTTTCCCTTGTTTATCTGTTTTGGGATTCCAGCCTACAGATGGTGCCACCCACGTTCAGGACAGAGCTTCCATTATCAGTGAGTCTCCTATGGGATATCACCGTAGACACACCTAAAGGTATGCCTCATGAACGCTCTGGGTGTTTCTTTTCTTAAGATTTATTTTTATTTATGTGTGTGCACTCAAGGAGATCAAAAGCGGGCATCAGACCTCCTAGAGATTGAGTTACAGGTAGTGGTAAGTTACACAGACTTGGGATCTCTACGAGGTGGTGGTAGTTTGAATGAGATGCTTCCCATAAGGCTGGGACATTTGAATGCTTGGTACCCAGATGGCGATTGTTTGGTGAGGATGATAGGACATGGCCTTACTGGAGGAAGTTCGTCACTGTTCTCCTGGGTTTCTGTCTGTTTCCTGTTTGCATTCTGAGATTTGAAGTCTCGGCTGCCACTACAGCTTCCTGCTGCTCTGCCAATACTTCCTCTTGTCCCTCTACAACTGTAAGGCAGTTTCTTCTATAAGTTGTCTTGGCCATGGCGTTGTTATCACCTCAAAAGAGATGTGACGAGTACAGAGGCCAGCAAGGGCTCTTAACAACTGAGCTATCTCTGTAGTCCCTGCTGTAGGTATTTCTTAATCCAATCATTGTGACCATGGAATTTATCACCACAACTGTGCAGCAAAAATTAGGAAATGACCCTGTCACCAGGTGGATTTTTTTGTTGATGAGAGTTTTCTTGTCCTGCCATGTTCCACTGCTTCAGGCCCAAATGAACACACATAGGCTTATATTAATTGTTAAACTGTTAGTTTATGGCTAGGGCTTCTCATTGGATAGCTCTATCTTAATTATTAACCCATTTCTTTAAATCTATGTACTTATACGGGATCTTGGCTTACTGGAGAATGCCTGGACCTGTATCTCCTTTGGCGGCTACATGTCATCTTCTCTGGAGAGTTCTCTCCACCTACCTTTCCCAGAATCCACCTCATCTCCTAGTCTTGCCTATCGTCCTGCCTCGTTAGTCAAAAAGTGTTTTGCTCATCAACCAATAAGAGAAACATACATACAGGAGGACATCCCCTATCACCTCCTCTATTTTGTCTAAATGGGAGCAGAAGCTACAGCTATGAGGTAAGTCAGGACACCAGGTGACAGCAGATTAGCTGTGCTAGTCATGTAACTCTTGCAGTCCTTGAATCAAGTGGCTGATATGGGGTACAGACTTTGGTGAGATTGTGTGTTTATGTCTTTTCTGATGCTGTTACAATCACGATAACCAAAAACTTGGGGGAAAGGGACTTATTTGGTCTACACTTCATGGTTACAGTCCATCACAGGGCAAGAATTCAAGGTAGGAATTGGGAGACAGGAACAATGGAGGGATGAGTTTTGCTGTTTTTCATTTACAGGTTCATTTAGCTAGCTTTCTTAGACAGTCCAGGACCACCTGACTAGAGATGGGGTCCCACACCATTGACTGGACCCCTAATTGAGTCAATAATCAAGAAAATCCCTCTCAGAGATGCCTCCAGGGCAGTCTTATCCAGGTGTTTCCTCAGTCACCGTTTTCCTCTCAGTAACTGTAGGTTTGTGTCAAGTTAGCAATCAAAGCTAGTGAGGAAACCCTACTCCCTGTCAACTCGACACACAAACATACCACGTTAGGCTCTAAGTGTTCCCTCTTTGTACACAGTATCTCATGTTACTATAATAATGTACATCACAGTACAACGTCTTAAAGTCAACTGTTTCTTTAAGAAACCAAACTTACTTAACTGTGGTGACTCCAGTACAATAAAAACTTACACTCTTTCATCTTTAAAAGGAAAAATTTAGGCATAACATGTCAGATCAAAGTGAAATTAAAAGCCAACAGTGAAAATCCAAATTCTGTAGCTCGATGTCTGACATCTGGGACTCACTGAGACCTGAGCTACTGAGTGCTTGGGCAGGGTCCTTCTGCTCTGCAACCCACAGCACATATGCATTCAGCTTGCATTCATTGCAAGCTTGGACGGGCTCCACTTCATACCTGCCTGTGTCATTGGGAGCCATCCCACCCCGTTGTTCACATCCCCTCCATCCTGGGGGCCCCCACTGAAACTGGGGCTCCATCTGTGCTACAGGCCTCCCCATGTGGATTCTAATCCCACTACACAGGGCAAAGTCTCATCTTCTCTCCATGACCCCTTAAGTCTTGCAACTCTCATACCTTTAAAACCAGGACCGTGTGGGAGACTCTTCTCCACTCCCAAGTTGAGCGGCCAGCATGACTGGCAGTTTTGGCTGCCCTGGCCCACAGCATCTGCGCACTCATCCTGAGGACAGTCCTTGCCTGTTGTTGAAGTGGAACACAGAGGGCTTCACCTCTTATTAATCACAACTTATTCTTCTATAGTACCTGACCATCAATCAGTGCTTTCTTCCTAAAAGAATAAAAATATCACTCAAATGGTCCCCGTAGTCTCTCGGCTTCCCTCTGTAATCTCAAAAGCCGGGCCTCCATTGTCTGCCTTCCCTCAGAATTCTTCTCTTGGAAACTCTCACAATAGTTCATTAAGCTGGGAACACTCAGTGGCTCTTCTACCACAAAGTTCTAAACACTTTGAGAACCCTCCAACAAAACCATATGGCGAGATTCATTATAGCAACGCCCTACCCTGGTACCAATCTCTGTTCTCTTTTGTTTCCTGTTGCTGTAATAAACACCGTGACCAAAAGCAACTTTGGAAAGAAGGGGTGTGTTTGGCTTCTGCTTCCAGGTTATAATCTATCCTAGAGGAGAGTCAGGGTGAGAGTGCAAGGCAGGAAGTGAGAGGCAGGAGCCATGAAGAATTCTGCTTACTTGCACGTGCACTCACTCTTTACCTGTCTTTCTTACACAGTCAGGGACAACTGCCTAGGGATGGTTGTGCTCAAGGGAACTGGGCCCTCTTAGGTCTTTTTTTCTCTCTTCCTTTTTTTTTATTTAAGTAAGAAACAAGTTTGTTTCACATGTCAATCTCAGCTCCCTCTCCCTTCCCTCCTCCCCATTCCTCCCCACCAGGCCCCCCAATACCCCACCCAATCTCCACTCCAATCCCCAGGGAGAATGAGACCCTCCATGGTAGATCTCCAGAGTCTGACACTCACATTCAGGGGGGGTCCACAATGCCATCAGTTTGGGGTCCAAGAGCTCCCCTTGTTCAGGTCAACTGTTTCTGTGGGTCTTTTAATAAAGACAGTCTCTCACAGATACGCTCACTGTCCAACCTAATCTAGGCAGTTCCTCAGCAAAGGCCTACCCCTTAGATGACCCTATGCTATTTAAAGTTGATAAGGAAAGCTAACTAGGCAGTTCCTACCTCTTAGATGACCCTAGACTGTGTAATGTTAATAAGGAAAGCTAACTAGGAGAGATAGTAACTCATTCTTCATGTCAGGTCAGAATTGCAAAAGAAATCCTCATTGTCATTGCCCATATCATTGAGGGTCATCTTTATATGGTGTCATCTTGAGAGGGAGCCTACTGTTGGAGATGCTGATGCTCTGGAGACCTGAAAACAAGGGATAATGACAACGTGGAGTACCCAGGTACATTTGGCCACAGTATCTCAGAGAGTCTTGGAACATCCTGTCTTATTTTCTTGGTGGCAGGTACACATAAGTAGCATTGGTACAAAGGACCCACAGAGGGTGTCTCTGCGTAGTGAACCTGGCCTGAAGATTGCCGAGTAGCTCTGAGACTTGACCAATGGTTTTTCAGCCTCCAGAACTTCCTACCTGTCATACATAATTTGCCAGCCAAGAATGAGGACTCCACCAGAAAGACTTTCCAACAGGAATGTGCAATGATATTTTATTTGCAGAGAAGACAAAATGTGTAAATCAGTGTTGAGTCAAGAAAATTGTGCCTCTCTAGGTTTGATGGAAATAGGGGGCTGGGATGCAGTCGAACCTAGTTATGAGGGGATCTGGAAGGGAGGTGGAGAATGAAGAGAGAAGCACAGTTGCAGATGGATGGCCAGAACTGGGGGTAGGGAGGCCTGTAGAAACCACCCTTCTACTGAAAGGTAGACAGTGTTGAGTTGCTGTGTTGTAGACTCATGACCGAGTTCCCTCGGCAGATTTCCAGCTGGAGCTTCTCTTGTTTTCACACATCATCACATGTTCATGACTTGCATTGATGGTTTCTGTCTTCTACTACCTGTTACCTTATCTTTTTCTGAGCAGACATTTCATCTGCTACTAGTTCCTGCTCTGGGGAAATATACAGCCTTCATTTTCACAATCCTGCACTAGTAACACACACACACACACACACACACAGAGAGAGAGAGAGAGAGAGAGAGAGAGAGAGAGAGAGAGAGAGAGAGAGAGAAGAGGAGAGAGCGTTTGGTTACCCATGTACTGGTTCCATAGAGAATCCCTGAGAACTTATCTCATTTTAGCTAGAATCCTCCAGTCTCAAGCCATCCTTCAGGTAGCAATACTCCATTGTCCTAGGATCATAGTCAGTCTGTCAGCTTCGCTATTGCTTGCTGGTTGGCTGGCACAAGGATGCCAAATGGCAAATTGCTTCCACATCTAGTGAGGAGTCAGAATTATACTCACAGAAGGATGCTGTATTTTCTTCGAAACCAGCCAAGTCAGTATAGCTTTCAAACATAGGCACAATGATGAGGGGAATCTCTCCATTTTGACCTCTTGGTACCAGACCTATATATACATCTGGCACTGGCATTAAATTATCAAACGGCCAGCTACATCCTTGTTGTATCACTTCTGTCAAACCAGAATGACAAAGAGCACAGCAGCTCCACAGACTATCATGATGTCATTCCATCAGCAGACTTCATTTAAGGCAACTTGGATTTCCTGATCTAAGCAGCATCCCATAGAATGTTAGGCAGTGAAGATGCTATTTGTAATTTAAATCTCCAGATGGTGGGTTCAGGGGAAACTCTGAACAGAAGGAAAGTCCACTCATTCAGACTGAGGGAATCTTCCAGGGAGACACAGGGCCTGCCACCCGGACAGAAGCCTGCCAAGGCAATGAGTTAGGTGTCCCCCTGAATTAGTTACTTTTCTGTTGTTGCGATAGATAAGTTCACTTGGGCTTACAGAGTCCATAACGGTGGGGGAGTCATGGCAACATGATGGGGGACGTCCTTCTGTAGATACACTTCTCTTATTGGTTGATAAATAAAACACTGATTGGCCAGTAGACAGGCAGAAAGTATAGACGGGGATACCAGACAAGGAGAATTCTGGGGAGAGGAGGCAGAGAGAAGCCACGAGAGAGACACCATGTAGCTGTTTTGGAAGATAGAACACCAGACGTTCTCCAGTAAAGATAAGACCATGTAGAAATACATAGATTAGTAGTTATGGGCTAATAATTAAGAGAGAGCTATCCAATAAGAAGCCTGAGCCATCAGTCAAACAGTTTCTAATTAATATAAGCCTCTGTGTATTTGTTTGGAACTAAGGCCAGTGGGACCAGGCAGAACAGAGTCTCTGTCTACAATCACATCTTCAGACACAAACAGGATGCAAACATAGGGAAGCAACTGGGAACGGGTCAAAGCTCCAGATACCGAAAGCCCAGCTCCACTAATGTCCTTCCTTCTGCAAGGCTGGCAGCACCCCTTAAAAGTTTTATTCACTCATCAACTAGCACAGCCAACCAAAGACGTGAGCCTATGAAGTAGATCTCTTATTCAAACCACGACATCCCCTGGCACCTTCAAGAAACCTTAGAATAGAATGGGCTCCATATTTCCTCCTGCTGCTGCCATGTTGGTCACAGTGGAAATGCAGTGGAATCTACCTAAGTCTACACCCAATACCAAGACGTACCACCTCACTGAGAAAAGAAGATGACATTCTTAGATTCTGGAGATGATGCATGTAATGACCAGTGAGTGTCACACCCAGGACTCAGGTCCCAACACATTTCCTCTCCTCTTCCATTTCTCTTGTCTTCTTGGTATTTTGCTTCCTGAAGCCACTTTTGCTGATGTCTCTCCCATCCATTGGCACTGACAGAGAAAGAAGGCCTTCTGTCCTCATCCTCCCTACATCCAGGGGAAAGTCACACTATGTGTACCACACCCCATTCCCTACCAGCACGCTAGGGAGGAAACTTGGTGTCCTGGGTTCCTCCCTAGCTGCCTGAGCAGGTCATTCCTCCTCATAGCTCACCACTGGTTGTTCAGTGTCTCCAGCTCAGCCTCTCACAACCCTTCGTTGTACTCTCAGGAGCCACCATGAGAGGTATGCAATCATCCCCCCTGACTGTGCATGGCCAGCAAAGGTCAAGACGATGTCACGGGCTTGGAGAGAGTTCGAGGTTCCAGCGCTCCCTTCACAGGAGGAAAGACTGCCCTGTGTTTGGCAGCTGGGGCTGTGGCACGCAGCATGTGTCTGTCACCGTTGACAGCTTCTCACAGCCTTTGTGACACACTGGGATGGGAAAGTGCTTCCCGATCTACAAATGACGCATGTCAGGCCAGGGCATCTGCCATGCTCATGGCCCTACGCTAAAATGAGGTTTCTTTTGTGTGTCTCCCCCAACTCTTCCTTCTCCTTCAGCCTGGTGCCTCATTGTGGCAGAGACTTCTTTCCATTTCCCAAAGCAGTGTCTCTTCAATCAGTGCACACAGAAGGAGTCCCCGTGAGATCTGAGGAGCCCCATTAGATGCCAGGACAGAGTCTCTTCTCGGAACCCATTTTTCTTTCTGCTGTCCATCTACTGAGGATTTTGCCATAACCGATCACAAGAAGACAGTCCCCCAGGCTGCCCCAAGCTTCTCACCTTTCCTAAGACCACAGTGAACCTGTTTTATTGCGTAGTTTCTGCTTCCGCTAGACAAGCTTACCTCTGGAGTTTCCCAGCCATAGGTTGAGCCTAAATAAAGTCCCTTCTGAGGTCACATCTCTGACTTAGCACATCTTTCTGTGATTTCTTGCTACCTCACCTTACCTTCTGACTTTTCTTTTAGGTATTCATGTTTTAATTAGCCAGATTAAAACACTCACTATTGACTCCTATGTTCAATATTCAGGTGGCAACTCAGTCCTTTCAAGTCTACCTCAGGAAGGCCATTTCTGTCTTTCCCCAACCCACTTCCCTGTCTGCTTTAATCTCCCAGTGTCTGGTTGTCAAGGTTCTCCGTTTATACACATCCTCCCTGTAAGCACTTCCTTAGACCATCACCTTGAGGACAACTCTGAAGAGGCCAATTTTACATCCTCATCCATCAACACCTCCAAGGATCCTGCCCCTTCAAACATGCAGAGAGTCATTGAGTGTTCTTAGACCCTCGTGAATATCAAGACTGAACAGAGGAAGGATACCAGCACATCTGAAATATAAACTCACCTCAGGGGTGGGACAAGTGGGTGGCAGGACCTCCATGGACCATGAACACTGCGGAGGGCCAAGTGGTATAGAAAAAAATCAGGGTTAAGGCACACCAGGAGCACTTACTTGACAAAAGCCACCACTGTTAGAATAATTGTGACCAATTATTACTTCTGGCATGGTAGACTACCATGCTGTGACAACTATGCTGGGTCAGTTCAGTATGATGGTACTGTCAGAGCATGAACCACTGACCATGATCATCTATGAACGCCCAAACACCCAGGGCTACGGAAAATCATGTTCATCTTCTCAATTCCACCATCAAAGGAAGAGCTTCGCATATTCACCTGGTGGCTGCCTAACAACCATTCTGTGCTTCATAATAAAACCCACCAGTTTTGTTATGTGTATGGCTCGCTTAGGTCAGAAAGGCAAGCATGTATAGTGGAGACAACTGGTCTTTTCTCCTGGTGATAGGCAAGTCTTGAGATACAGGGAAGATGTGTAGGAAGATCGAATCTTGGAAACCAATCTGGGGCCTCTGCTTGGAAGACCCAGAAACCAGTGCTAACCTGAAGCCAGGAGAGTGGTGTCTTCACCCACACCTCATAGTTGATGCTGAATTTGAACAGTCTTCAGCTGGCCTGATAAGAAGAGTGCCTGCACGTGTCCATGGGGCTTGTTCTCAGCGTCTTTGGACCACAGAGAACTGAAGATGTGTATGGCATTTGGAGGATCTAGATTTTAATAGGATCTAGATTTTAAGGCTCCACAGTTCCCTTCTGTTACATCAGAACAAGTCAAAGGCCTCCCCAGATTCGGTGGAAAAAGACGCCATTCCCACCTCTTGCTGAGCAAGGGAAAGAACTCACAGAACACCTGAAAGAAGAGAGACTGAGGAGTTCCTCCGCGAGACTCAGGTTTGCAGAAGTGACATAAAGGCATTTCTCCCACAAAGGAGAAAGGGGGAAGCTGGGGCTGCTGTCTTGACCTTGTGTGAGTGAAATATTGGGGAGAAAAAGTCTCTTTTAATTTTAGCCCAGAATCGTTTTTCTAACCCACACTCCTCCTTCACACTCCCTCCCCCAGAGGAGTCTATAATTGGAAATTTATAAATCAATACAAGTAAGGTCCCTCTTAGGCATTTTAGGCTGTTTAGAATTAGATCCCATTTAATGATTCTTAGATTTTTCAGGGGGAAAAACCTTCTAACGGTGTTCCCTTTAGAGTAATGCTTAACCATGTGGCTGCACTTACCTTTTAATTGGTTGGCATTTTTTATATCTGCATTATCTCCCATATGATTCAAGTTTTCCAAGGCTTGTGGGTTTATCTGAAATGACAGGTAAAGTCTTCACTCAGACTTGCCCAGCTCCTCACCACCTGCTGATGGAGGAACGCCAGCCTGAGTCCTAATGTTCCTGGGGAAAATTCCTCATATGTAGGCACTCAGATACCACCACTGCAAAACTCCTCTGGGGAGGAGGCTTCCTCTCTCCTGACCTATACTCTCTATGCTGGTTCTTGGACCACCACCAAAATTTCAACCTATGACCATCCCAGGACCTCAGTTATTAAGAGGCCCTACAACTTTTGAGTTTAGAGGCAAGACCTCAGGATATGGCCTAATTCTGTGTGAATTGAGACCATATCCTCCATGTACCAAGTGTTGGGTTGTGGAAAGCCCTGCTGGGGTAGAGCATGGTACTCTTTTCCCTCTCTCATAGTGCAAGACACTGCATCCTAGAACTTGTGGGATCACCCCAATCCTCTATTCCTTTTTGATAATCTCTTTCACCTCCCCTTATTCTTCTCAAGTACATTAAATTTCCTTATTATGCACACACATGTGTCTACAGAGGGCATGTGCCCCTTAGTACTCTGCTTATGGTGGTCAGAAGGAGATGGATCCCATGCAGCTGGATTTATGGACATTTGTTGTTGAGGGAAGGCTTTTTCTTGCCAGCCGCTTTGGTTTTTTCCCCACCAGTCGCCTGGGCTCTGCCACATTGCAGTCCCCAAATGAACACACAGGACACTGTATTAATTATGAAGCTGTTGGCCGTTTGCTTATTTCTTACTGGCTATCTTTGACTTAAGTATTTAACCCATCAAAGTATTTCTCTTACCAGAGAATGGGGTCCAGACATCTTACTTCTCTGGTGGGCTACATCGTGATTCCCTGTGTTTCTCCTTCCCAGAGTTCTGCTCAACTCCTAGTCCCACCTATCTTGCTTCCCTATTGGCCACCAGTGCTTTATTGACATATACACAAGACTTCCCCATCAATTTGTGAACCAATTGACATGGTTTCTGGATACTGAACTCAAGTCCTCAGAGAAAATAATATGCTTTTTTTAACCTCTGAGCTATCTCTCTGGGCTCTCAAGTTCTTTCTTCTCCAATGTGATCCCATTTCCTTGGAAGTGCTAGAGTTCTCTACAAAAATGACAAAGTCTGAATTTTATATTAAGTCTGTGTCATGGAATGGACATTTAGATACTTAAATCTTTGGGCTCTATATGAGAGTCACATTCTTTCAGATAAGTTTTGCCTTATTTTCTGAACAGTCCTAGACTCATTATGTTTAGGGATCATTCACACAGATTGCTTCCATCAATGGCTAGGACATACCCCTAGAGAGAGATGTATTATACAGCCAGTCAATACCAAACACAGCCACCCCCAACCAGATCATAGAGTGGGGATTCTAATTTAAGAGTCAGTATTCCACAAAATCGTTTTTGCTAGGAGTCAGCCCATTTCTCGTAAAATCTCTTAAACTCTTCAGGCAGTGGTGGGAGTAGTCTTCAGGCTATACTCTGAGCCAGTGCTGTTCTAGAAGGTTAAAATCTGAAACAGTTTTAAAATACAGTCTCTAGCACCAACATGCTCTCTTCTCTCCCGAGACACCCTTAATATGCAAGCCAGTAGAAAAGCCAGCTTGCATGGTTGGTAGTTGGAACCTGGGATTTCGGGAGAGTTACAAACATTCTCAGAACTAATAAGATGTCTTGGGGTTCCTAAATATGTTGTGCAAACAAGATGGTGTCTAGCAAACACCTGGTTTCATGCTGGGAGTCTGTAATTTGTGTCCTCATCAAGGAGATGCAGACAATAAAACTTCGGGAACTGAGTACAGAATGTGCCTAGTAGATAATGCATGTCACTGCTTACCTTTAGAGGAATTTTTACTTTCAATAAAAACAGTAGGAGAACATTAAAGTCTGCAGCAGAAAAGAGGGAGAGGGACCTATGCCTGGTATTAAGGGAGGTGGCTGTTTGGCATGATATGTACTTCAAATGGTGTTCTTTGTAGGATCAAACATCACAGGCAAGAGCTGTGCACAGAAACAAACTTAGATCTTTAAGTAGTTTTACATGAAAGTAAGAGATGGGGTTAAAATTAAAGTGCATAGAATGAAAATGTTTTATAAAATTGTAAAACAACTTGCTTCATGAAATTTAATTTTTCTAAAAGTGTGTGTGTGTGTGTGTGTGTGTGTGTGTGTGTGTGTGTGTGTGTGTGTGTGTGTGTGCAGTGGTTGCGGAGCCCAGGGGAGAGTGTTGAATCCACTGGAGTTGAAGTTATGGGCATTTGGGAAGCTTTCTGGTGTGGGTGCTGGGAAACAAACACGGGTATCCTGGAAGAGCAGCGAGTTCTCTTAACCATTGAACCTCCTCTCCTGGCTTAAGAGCACACACATATACCGGAATAAATGGAAGACAACAACTTGAAGGAGAGAGAGTAATATAGGGCAGATGTTTATGTGTTAAGTTAGAGCAAAGGAGAGTCAGTAGGGCTCAATGTTTTTGTCTCTAATATTCTGCTTAGAAAATCTGAGAAATCCTTTATGCAACTCAGAAGAGGTTCAGATTGGTAGGCTCACATTGACGGCTGCCTGATTCTGTCTTCTCCATCCTCTGTATTCACCTTCTTCCCAGTGTCAAGGTAGAATTAATCTCTCCCCTTCCGTGTACCTACAGCATGTGTTTCCGAGCTCGATTGCAGTTTAATACAAGGCAGCATGAGGTTCAGTCTCCAGGGTAGCATGAAGAAACCATGAGACAATCCCCCCAGAGACTGGACTATCTGGAACAGTCCTTTCCTTTACTGTACCCATCTCAGACCTTTGAACTTAAGTCTGGGCCTCCCTCTCCTAGACTAAGGTTAAGAGCCAATAGTACTAACTGGTACATTAGCTGTGTTAATTAAGAGTTATGTATTTTAGTTCTGCCCTACTTGGTTACACACGACAGGAAATGAAAGAAATGGACCTGATAACAGCAGAGGAAGTGTCATCAAGGAGCAATGCTCTAGCTTCTACTTCTTTATTCAGCACTGTAATTAATTCTCTCCTGGACATGACTTGAGAGTATCTCATGACTAGAGTGCCAGCCACTACACACATGGGTCATCTAGACAAAGGAAAAAGTACTTGTCTGTAGTGGCATCTTGCTTTGCCAGTGAGCTTGGAGTGGTGGCCACACCCTTTGGGCGTGGTTTCAGGTGCAGATGTGACCCATTATAAGGTAGAGGAGGGGCTGGCTTGCACTCTCTTGGGTTGCAGAGAGCATCAGAAAGGCAAAGACTGTGTCCTCTGGAGGGGAAAGTCTGTGGTGGTTATTTACTCTTATCTGTGTAAGTGCTTCCCTATAAATACTTCCTTATCATTTATCTATTTATCTTGGGTCTGGTGAACGCATTTAAACCTGGCCTTCACTTGTCCATGGTTCACTTGCCTCTCAGAATCCCTCTTGAAGATCTTAAATGTCTTTGTATTTCTCACTGGCCAAGATTAAATACCTGGCAACACTGAACTCCCAGTTAGGTGAGGGAAGCAGTCTCTGCATGACAACCCACCCAGCTCAGAACTCACTCACAAATTCAGGCTGGCAATCTCTACCGAGCCTGGCAGGTAGCATGAGGTCACAAGGTTGAGTTGAGTTAAAATCAGGGAGGGCTCTGTGTTCCTTGCTCCCATGCAGTTGCTGCTTATGAGCTCATCCGGTCACTAACTTCTGGGTTATGACCCCAGGTTCACTTTCTCTACCCTGCTGAAGCTAGCAGAGTGGTCCATCCCACACAGCTGTGAGAGAGACACGAGTCAATGGCCATAGCAAAAAGCCACGGTGCCGTAGTCCAGCGAGTGGCTGTCACCTCTTCACAGTCAGAGGTCCAGCTCCAGGAGATGGCTTCACACGGTTCAGAATGAAGACCTTCCCTCACCAGGCTGATTCCTGGCCCATTTTACAGAGAAGGAAACCGAGTCCTTGGCAGTTTCATGACTGATGACTTGGCTACATGGAAGTACTGCAGCCCGAGTTGCATTCTTCGCAGCTCTCACAGTCTCCTTCTGTCCGATGTAGGGCTGCATGCCTGAGGACTTGGTCTTTAGAGTTCCTCAAAGGTTGCCATCGGTTCTCTGCTTCCGACTCAGATCACTGGTCACTTGCTTTATGCTGGAAGGTACTTTGCAAACCATCCCGGCTGCCTGTTCGATGGGATCGTTCTGTCACTAAGCTCCGACCCTCAGCTTCTCCACTCCATGTGTCCCTTGTGTCAGTTCAGAGCTCGTCACCCTTTCTTAATCTCTGCCCTATAAACGAGGCGATGAAGGCCTGTTGCTTCATCTAGCATAATCTGAAACTTCAAAGTTACACCCACGAGGCTGGTGAGGAGGCTCTGTCAGTAAAGTGCTTGGCTTGCAAACATGTGTGCCTGGATTGGGGTCCCCAGGACTGACATAAAAAACAAAAACAAAAACAAATACAGCTACTTACTCCTGGCGCTGGGAAGACAGAGATGGCGACCCAGTCTAGCCAATTCCAGGTGTCCCAGGTTTCATGAAAGATCCTGTCTCAATCATATGTCCATTTCTAGCCTCCACATGTGCAATACCATTGCAAACACTGACTAATATGCCCAACATAAAAGTTCAGGGCCACTTTGATGATTCTAAACCACTGGATTTTCCTGTGTTCCCACTACACCACTACAGGTGTGGAGGAGCATAGATCGTGTGGGGGATAGGACACTAGATACATCACAGCGATACCCTGTTTGGGCACCAGATGTCATGGGGCCTCTGGGGGCCCCCTGGGTCAAAGTCAAAGAGGGTAGAGTGCTCTGTTAGCCAGTGTCACAGCCTCCGGGAACCCAGAGACAGTCAGGCTCAACAGGTAGTCATGTCAAAGAGAGATCTCGTGGAGCCCTCTTAAAGAAAAAAAAAAAAACCACAGGGCGGGAAAAGTATTACCTAATAATTTTAAAGGTATCCCTGTGATGTATATCCAAAGTCCTATCCCCTCTCCGACATGGTCTTCGAGTGT